TTTACTTAGCATCCCCACTTCATATCTATTGTCTCTGCAAGTGTTTGTTAGCCTCCTACTGGACGAAAGACAGGACTGAGATCTGAGGAAAGCACATGAGTTAGAAGATTTCATCTTGTTTGACTGAGATGATCATTTCAAAGCCATGCCTAGGCTAGGTCACAGTTGCACTGTAGTATAAAAGCAAGTGCTAGAGTGTTACACACATGCACACACATGCACATGAGGCATAATAATAGCCTATGACTGGTGTGAAAAGTCTCTAGGTTCTTCTCACTAGAAATTACTCTTGAAAAAAGGCTAAAAATGTTTTGATTTCAGTTTATTTTTTATTGTATAGATATGTTATTTTCCACAAATGAAATCTTAGATAGTAACAAGAAAGATATGTCTGGAGAAATTAAATCCCAAAGCCAAGCATCTATGAGTAAAATATATTAAATTGTGTGTGTGTGTGAATGTGTAAATAAATACCAATAAAATATCTGTCCATCTCTTCTAGTTGTTCATGTGAGCAATTATTGTATCTTTTCTAAAAATGTTTATCTTTTTGTATCCAGACTCAAATCATTTTCCAGGTGGGTTCGAAGCCCAGGTACACATGTCAGGGGCTAGCTTCCAGGGTAGACTGGCACATTGCTGCACCAGCTGCTGGACTGCGGTCTGCTCTCACTGCGAATCTCCCCTGCTGGCGGCTCTTGTTCCAGCTACTGACAGGGCCCTCCCATTTGCCCTGCATCAAACTTGGGCAGGCAGGACGGCACAACTGGGGATGGTAGAGCAAGGAGGAGCTGCTGTGACCCCAGCCTGTGCCAATAACCTGGCACACAAGCTACCTTTCTCCCTTCCTCCTCACTTGGCACTGAAATCGGAGCTTACTAGTATATAAAATACACCGAATACCAATTCTGTGATGTTTTCTTATTTTGTGCCCGTAATTTTATAGTTTAAAATTTAATTAGCCCTCTGTGCTAAGAAAGGAAGGTATTTCCATTACTCCTTTACCTTAAGGACAGTAGAATACAGTTTGGGAGATATATTTAAGACACATCAACATTATTCCAAATGTACACAAAGAAATTACAGAAGAAAAGGAAATTATATTTTTTAAACAACAGTTAACTATCTTATTCTAAGGAAGTATTTCTGGGTAAGACAATGCGACTTTAAATGTTTTGTATGTAGAACACCTTTGCACATGTGCGTGCGTGCACATACACACACACACACCTCTTCAAGTTAAGGAGAATATTTGCTCACAAAGCAGAGAACAATTTTAAAGTCCCACCATGAACACAGGAACCTTTATATGAACAAAGTAAATAGATCCTGCTTTCTCTGTCCCTTCAAGAACTGGCTCACAGTTTGCCTTTCTTACATTTTATCTACATTCCTGGGCGAGAGATCCAATGACTTTATTCTGCTCAGTGATAATGCAACATGGGAGTGGATTCTGAATACCCCTAATTATCCTGCTGGGACTGCAGAGCCCCAAAGTCGTCATTGTCCAGCAATAAACCCATGACCAGCTTCAATACCTCTCGTTGCCCTTGTATCAGTTAGTTGGAGAAGAATCTTGCCTCCCATCAAGCAGTGTCCTAAAATATTTAATCCAGCTGACATTTTAATATTAATTAAAGTTAGAACAATACTATCTACTTCTGGGCTAAGAGAAAATGAAAATGAAATTCTAAATCTTAGATTCTTGTTTCCCACTCTTTCTTTTACCCCACCCCTTTAGCTCCAATCCTCTTTAATACTCCATATATATTCAGGATTCAGATTGGACTTGTGCCATTTCCTGGAATATCATGAGGTTTTAACACTTAGGACACATGTCCAGTTTGTTTAATTTTTTTTTTTTTTTGTCGAATGACGGGCAAAGCAGAAACTCCCCCAATTCTCAAAGTAACAGTGGAGCCCCAAATTAGGAATGTTCTCACAGACCTGAGCTGGGATTATTCAATGATAGTAATAAAGACACACACATTAAATGGGGCTAATTTGTGCACCCCATTCTTTTAAAAGGGCTATTTTTCGCCTGTGACTATGGCATGCATTTGTTTTTTAAACAATATCACACTTTTATATAACCATATATTCAAGGTCTTTATCATTCAAAAAACATGAAGGTTGTGCTTTTGCTCTTTAGGTTGGTGTAGGAGATATGATTCACAAAGTAGGATAGATAAAAATAAGCCTGCCAGAGCACGGTGCCACAGCATCAGAATTCACCATCTTATCAACAAATGAAAGTCATTCTTCTTTATTTCTTAAGCGAAACGGTTTCATATGAGATAAATAGCTTCCAGTCAGAATAGCCTAACATACGATATGCATCTTTTTGACATGTATATTCTCACACTACTTTATAGCACAAGATTAAAGTAAGAGTCAGCTCAGGGCTGCGTGTTGGAAGTGACACAAGTCAAACCTGCATTTTTCTGTCATTTGTCTCCTGAAAGTAGACGCTCTGTGTTTATGCTTACACGTAAGAGGGTGTTGTTGCGTATTCAGCCTTTCTTGACTTTCAAGTGCCACATTCTAAAGAGTCTCATGCAGAGAAATAATTTCTGGCATTTGCCCTTTTCGTAAGCCCAACAATGAAAGTCACATGATGTCACCTGCATTTTGTTTTCAGAGATCAGGAAAGACTGGAACATACAAATCTCACAGTCTTAGGACACTTAGTCCCACATAGACGGCTTGAAAAATCTAGTTAGCTATTCATGTTTAGCTTTTCTATCTTGCAAATATTACCCTTTAGGGAATTGATGAAGTCATAGAAAGTTTCCCTTTTTAAATTTTTTATAAATTTATTTTTATCTTTACTAGGTTGCATACACAAAAGGTGGAACTTTGAGCTTTACAAAGTGTGCCTTTGATGACAGCCCTACCTCTCCTTCTTATCTGTTTGTTTGACTTCTTCGAAATTCCGTTATTATTTGCTTCAGCTGGAAGTAGGACAAGGTAGGTGGTTTGAAATGTAAAAGACCGGCAAGCATTTTCAAACATTCAGAAACTATCTTCTCCCTCCTCGTATTTCAGGGTTACATTCCTTTGGAGATTGGCTATGTGACTGCACATGAACAACACGAGAAACCTCCAGAACTTCTTTCTTAGCACACATTGTTTAGTGAGGAGCCATGAATTGAAATGATAGGATGTAGAAGAAGCTGCCTCATCTACCTAAGAGATATCTCTGCATCAAGTCTCACCGGCGGCTTTTATCTGTTCTCAAGCTCTGAATAAGCCATCTACTTTTCTAAGTCAATCTTTGCCTGCATTTGAGACTATCCACCTGTGCTCATCACCCAGTCCCCAGAACTTCAAATAAACTATATTATTATAAATAACATGTTATTTATAATAATAAAATATATAATATAACAATAAATATTATTTATAACAATAAATCAGGGATAGAGTCATTTCTACTGGTGTTGGATTACTCATGCATGCCGAAGTTGTTGGGAAAGGATAAATATCTGTGCAAACACAACACCACAAGTAGAAAAAAGAAAGAATGTTTCTAAAGAGGTACATTAATTGTTATCACATGTGAAACAAGTATAGACAAGCTATGCCACGGTTTGGTAGGACTTTTGAAATGAGGTACAGAATAACCCACAAAGGAAATCAAGAGGTCTGGTTGCTATATAAAGATTCCCTCACGCTCACCATCTGAACTGTTCCTTACAGTATGAGGAAGTCTGGCAATGCTTCCCAAACATTGGCCTGAATCTTAACTCTGTAATCACTAGGAGCTTGTGTTCAAGATAAAAGGCACTTCCTGCCTCAGGCTCTGAGCTGGCAGCAGCATGAAGGAAAATAATAAACATGAAGATGTTAGAATGAAGTTTTATTAAGAGTGTTATGTTCGAAGAAAGTATTTAAGATCTACTGTTTAAGTTTTGAAAAAGAAGACTGGATTGGATGGTTTAAGATCCTTTTTTAAACTTCAAAGTTAGATTCCATTCCTTTTTCTTTGTCTTTTTTCCCTTGAAATTGTTGTTTGAGAATTTCATACCTGAGTACACCATATTCTTGTCATTTTCACCCTTTCTCCTCCTGCTGCTCCCACCATGTTTGCCCAAGGCCCCCATCTATAATTATTGTTCACACACACACACACACACACACACACACACACACGAATAGAAACAACTGTACATCTATAGCTATGGAGTCTAGTTGGTTTTGTTGTATTTGCATGTGTTTAGGGCAGAGGCTCCATTCCTCTTTATTTTTTTTTTTCTCATTACAACATACTCCGCAGTGTTTGGCCTTCCCCTAAACTCAGGGTTTTGAGGTTTGACTAGATTTAATAGAACGAGTGTTCTGAATGGGCAATTGTAAAAATAAAAACTATTCCATTTTCATAAACCCAGCTGGCATAACTTGTACTCAGCCATAAATGAATCTGCATTTATTATTTCATCTTTAGTTTATATTTACAAATACAGAGAACCAGCTCTGATAATAAAAGTGAGTACTGAATATTTTTGCAAGCTATTATAGCATTTACAAAGAGTACTATAAACACACGCAAGATGTGACTATATGGTAATGAAATGAATTTTCCTGTGTGGTAGGGAAAGCTCATTAACTTAGAGCCAGGCTCTGGGCTGTTCTACAGTAGACATATGTGGCATTTCTCACTAATGGCTCACACTGTCACTAAAATATTTGTCTCTAAGTCCCTTGGTCTTTGAGAATGCAGGCATCCACTGTGTGTAAATTAATAGTTTGGGAGAACCAACCAAAACAAGAGACCCAGAGAAAATTTTTTCTTTTGTAAGAATACAATCAAAATCTTTTCCCTAATTATACATTTTGGCCAGAGTAATATCTGATATTATATAAAAATGCTTTCAGTTATAGGGAAGAATGCTTTATATGATTCTTAGTAAGTGACATTGGGTTATGCTTTTAGTGATTTCACTGTTTATATTAAAGCGTGATGACCAGGAGGGAGAAGGGTGGATATTCACACTTACTTTCTTCATCCAGAAGACTCTCAGCAGCTGAGAGTAACCTCATCCTGTCTTCTGGATTGGCAATGTTTAATTCAATGAGGTGACTTTCTTTAATATCCTTCAAGTCTTCCAGGGTCTCATAGCCATTGAGCAGAAGTGTTGAAGTATATTCCTGTAGGAGGAGGAAAATGTGTATAATCCGTAAACTAACAGGGCTCAAATATTGTGATTCCTCTAAATTAAAGTAATTATACAAATGCCAATGACAGCAAAAACAGCAGTGGACCTTTTGCCTGGTATCATTTTATTTATGCTAGTTTCCCACAGACAAATGTTAGGGCATTGAAGAGAGAGTGCTGTAAATTCGTGACCTGCAGAAGGACAAATATAAAGAAGAAATAATCCCTTGACTCTGATGATAGCAGGAAATTATGGATCTCTTATCAGCTGACTTGTCCATCCCACTTGGCACTCTCCCTTTGTACCTCATCAAAAGGCAGCATTTTCTCAAGGCGTTCAACACAGTACCTCTCATAGATGAAGCTATAGTAATATCTCTGCACCAGTCTCTCGTTTTGGTTGCTTGGTCAGGAAAACATCTACTCTCATTATTTTCTTAGTGTAGTTAAATGATGAATTTGAGCGCCAGTGAGATGGATTAGTAGGTAAACTGCTTGCTGCCTAGGCTGATGACATAGATTGGGTCCCAGAGCATAAATGGTAAAATAAATGCACTCCTGCAAATGTCCTCTTACCTCCACATTCACAACATGGCATGCATGCACATACGTGCGCATGTGCACACACACACACACACACACACACACACACACACACACACACTGAACAAATAAATTTATGAAATAAAAATGAATTTGAAGCAGACACAAAATGAATTTAGTATTTTGACTGAGTGAAGATGTTTTATATATCTTGTGAACTACAGGTTTGCTATATATTTTTTTCTTTCTTTTTTATTGATTTTTTTATTGAGCTCCACATTTTTCTATGCTCCCCTCCCTGCCTCTCACCTCCCCTTTATATTTAAATTTTAATTATACATAAAAGACTCACAGTTGAAGTTAGTATTTATTTCCTTTCCTCAGTAGGGACATTTTGTCTATCATTTGCATCAATATATATTAGTGTAAAATTCTTAGACTTCTGATCATAAAGTATCTATGTGGTTCTCAGGCTGTGGGTTGTGACCCCCACTGGTGTTGTATATCAAATATCCTGTGTATCATATATTACATTATGACTCATAACAGTAGAAAAATATCAGTTATAAAGTAACAACAAAAATAATTTTATCCCAGGCAGTGATGGCACCTGCCTTTAATCCCAGCACTTGGCAGCCAGAGGCAGGCAGATCTCTGTGAGTTAAAAGCCTGCCTGGTCTACAAGAGCTAGTTCCAGGACAGGCAGCAAAGCTACATAGAGAAACCTTGTCTCAAAAAAATATATAATAAGAATAAATTTATGGTTGGAGTTCACCACAACATGAGGAACAGTGTTAAAGGTTTCAGCATTGGGAAGGGTGAGAAACAGCACTGTTGTTTCCACAACCGCTGTTCTAGCAGACTGAATATGCAAAGTGAAGTGACATTTTTTCCAACTTCCTCAAAAATGTCTCCAATTTTATTTAAATCTAGTTTTAATATTTTTATTTCAGTTACTAAAATTGAATATGATATCAGAAAGTGTTAAGTAATCAGAAAAAAACTTTTTACAAAGCACATTTTAATCAAATGAGGGAAAAGAATAATGATAATTTGTTTAAAAATAGTGTATTTTAGAAGAACACAGAATACCAAAATTTCCATTCTTACACAACAATCTAACTCTGACTTTTTTAGTATGGTGTTTACCACACTTAGGTGTTTTTCCATGGGTGACAGAGGCAGGTTTTCAATGGTGTTTTCCCCCAGGAGTATCACACTGTCTCAATCATTCTATAATGAAAGTTGAACAGTATGTTGGCAGACAGAAGGGTAACTTAATAACTCAGAAATACCAATTAAGAAAAATATAATTGCTTTTGTTTTGATGACTTGCACTAGCCAAATATTGATGAGTGAGTTGTGCAAATGGATTAGAAACTGAGAGTAGAGTGATACCACTTATGGTGGATACTGTGCTATGTAACGTGCGCACGTGTGTGTGTGTGTGTGTGTGTGTGTGTGTGTGTGTGTGTGTGTGGTTCTGTGGCAGCTTCTTTTACACTGAGAATGGAGTGATGCTACTTATGGTAGATACTGTACTATGTAGTATATTGTACCATGTAACAAGAGCTATTTCTTTTAATAGGTATTGGCATGCCAGTGGTGCAATGCATTCAAGTGTGGTGCTCATAAAACAAACTTTTCCTTGAAATAATCATTAGAGCATTGAACATTAATTATCACTGTTTCTGAAATTACTTCTGAGACGATTATATTCAGTTATTTTCTCTGAATTTCATTTTGACCTCTCATAAAAACACAAGCTTCCTTTCATTCTTCTTCTGAGTCCCACAAATTTGACTGTATTCTACCTATTTTCTTGGTCATTCTCACTTAAATACTTTTTCTGTGGTCTCCTATTCTCCTAGATGTATATTTTTTCATTTTCAGTGCCATTTCTCTACATTAATCTCTACTGTTACTGACTGCTAAGTATGATTAGGGTTTAGTCTAAAGGGTGCTACATCAAGACCTGTCTTTGTATAAAAACGTAATAAAGGAAAAATAAGAGCTGTTCTAGAAAAACAGATTTTCCTTTGCTGTAAATCTTACATTCTTAACAACCAGGTGGAAAGACTGATCCACTTTGTATTTCACCCATTTTCCAGCAAAAGCAAACAGATCAAAGGTTTACTAACCTGGAGGTGAATCTGCTCTAAGAAATTCTGCAGAGTCCCGGTGCTCTCTCTCTTACTACTTCTGTGCGCCTTTGTTTTCTTAGGAGCTGCTTCCTCTTCTGCGATAACATCCACATAAATAAATTTGAAGTTTCCAACTTTATTGTTCAGCATCCCTGTCCACATTCCCATCGGTGTCTTACAGATAATGTCTATGATGTCTCCTTTCTAAGGACAAAAACAAATGCAAATCAAATGTCAAAGCACCATCATGCTTTAGTAATATGGAGAAAGAATGGAACCATAGGAATCCTAGAGGATAATATAGTAAAGGTCTTCAGAGATCGACAGGAGTTCGCATCCTCATTGAAAGTATTCACCATATAGTGAAGAACACCTACATGCTTGATGCTGCTTTTCTTTTTCCTATTATATTAACTCACTAACTTACATTTGTAGAACAATATACATGGTATGTTAAATATACTGCTTTCTTGTTGCACTACATATGTATTTGGTAGAGAGTATGAGGTATCAGATTATTGCTATTAGTGTGACAGAAAAAGAAACAGTGATATTAAGTGACCTGTCACTTTCTTAAATGAAGTTAAAGATGGGGTCAGAACTCAAGCCTAAGTTATGTCATCTTAAAAATGTTTCATTTTTATTCTACTTCCTAAATCAATATAGGAATAAAGCATCAGACCATCATTTGAATGTGCTCTCTTAAGGGGGAAGAATGAAACTTGGACTCTTTGTCCATGGTTTTAGCTCATATGACACGATTCTTTTACAGTATAAAATAAGTCTATGTAAATTGTTTTTTTGAGCTAAAGCAATGAAAGTAAAGCATTTACTAAGTATGCAATGGAAGTATTTGTGTAGCCAGGTCTGTTGATTAACTTTTGAGGTAATGATGGCGCTCCTGCCGTCAGTGCCACTTGTGGAAGCTCTCATCCGTGACCTACAGAAACCCACAGGGGCGGGGCGGAGAGCTAGCTCTCTGGCCTGGTGGAGACCTAACTTTTCAAGGCACTCAAAATATAAGAGGATTAATCTGGTTGGCCTGGACAATCATTAGCCAAAGGGTCATCTCTTGGGAAGTGGGTTCACCTTAAACTATGCTCAAGGGAGAAGAGGAATAATGAGAATGAGCCCTTTAGTGAGCTAAAGAGCTATTACTTCCCAGAATTGTCACTGCTCAGGTAGGGCTGCAGACAATTTCCCAAGTCGTCTGAATTACTCAGAAAACCATACATTTCCTTTCTATTGTATCTCTTTTCTAAGTGTGTTTTCCTGATACTTTGCCTTCTTTTTTTCACTGCGGTACCCAACTCTCCCATGTGGCTGCTTGCCTACCATGTAGGTGACGTCCATGCTGAACTAACTCGAATGCCATGTTTTTCTCTGTTTCTTCAATTTGTATTCCTCTTCCCTGTAGCTGGATAGACTGAAAACTTGCTGCCCTGGGTTTTTTTTTTTTAATTACAGTCAAATTTTCCTCAATTTTGAGCCCATTCTTAAATTCTTTTATTAATGAGACAAGGAATTCCATGTAAGGACCTTGATTTCCCAGATAGCACGTAACTGGGAACCTTCCTGGGATTTCCCAAAATTCTGATAACATCCAAAGGAGATATTATATAAAATAAAATCCACAACAAAGTTTTCAATGAGGCATGAATTAGGCAGAATCGCATGACCAAACCAACTAGCATTTTGTGTATTCATATCTAAGACTACATTTGGTTATAGGATGCAATTATTGGCAAGAGTAAAAATTCTCTTGACAATACTTCTTTATGAGAAGATTTAATTTCTAGAAAATTATGTGCCTATTTTATGAGTCATATTTACTCAAATAAGAATCAAAGTTACTCTTTTGAGGTATAATTTTACATCCCAATGAGATGCCATAGATTCCAATATTTGCTAGTTTTAAGGTTCTATCTTAAAACTAAGCTATGCTTAAATCTATATTTTCATGCAGGCCTGTGAACATATGATTGAAGAAAAATACTAATTTATTTGTTCTAGTAATCTATAACTGGATGTGATTGTGATTGAAAGATATGATCTCTCTAATTTGGGATAGGATGTGTACCTGTCTGTCTTCTGAGTTTGGGTCTAGGTGTTTGCACTTTTCCCTGAGAGAATGAAGTGACAGGCCAGATCCTATACGCCCAGGAGACCAGCACACTCCCTAGAAGTAATAATAAGTTTCTGGGTGTGACAGTTCTTCACTGGGTCTTTCCTGTCATATTTTACATTTCTGGTCTTGTTCCTTGTGTCGTTTAAACTTACAAATTGCAGCAAAAGTCACAGGTGAGCCCAAAGACTCAGTTTCCTTACTCGGGACCTGTGAGATGTTTATTGTGTTCTGTGAGGGCCCCAGAAAATCACCGTAGTGGCACATGGACATAATTTTGTAGGGAGTTACAACAAACTAAGTTCTACCTACCCATGGGAGCTTTAAGAAGGACATCAAGTCTCGGGGGAGATCATAGTGTGGCTGGCACCCTGATTTTGCCAGGGGTATCCTTGTGAAGATAACAGCTGAGTCATATCCAGGTTTATGCCTTCAAAAGCTGTGATTGAATATTTGTGTGTTATTTGAAGCCTACGAGCTGAGGGTAATTTGTTGTACAGTGACATTTGTGGTGGGGTTATCACTAGGGAAAGAGCTCTGGTTACGTGAGGCAACCAAATTAGAAAGCCCTGGAGCTGCCCAGCCAAGTGTGGTTCCCCAAGCCTCTGCTCTGCCGGGTGCCTGTCGCATAGTTCGGTTTTTGCCTACTCCCTTTTCTGTTTTTGCCTACTCCCTTTGCGCTCTTCTTTTTGTCTAGCTGGTATCAGGTGGACACACCTCGCTGGTCACCTCTGAGAGCTTCAAAAAATGCTGACCATTCATCCCCCTCCCACAGATTCTTACGTTAATGGCCACAGGAGACTGATCCCTCTCACCCCACCCCACACTAAGTTCAAATTCTCCCCACTGGGGCGTCAGTCCAGCTTACTATGAAAACCAGCTTTCTGTAGTTCCTGAAGGAAATCACCCAACTGGCATTCGACAGACCAGGAAGCACATGTAATGTGGGCCTACCTTGATTTTGAGGGAGTCGGTGTCATAGGGACTTGGCGTGAAGTCTGTGTGCACTCTGGCGCGGCCACAGAATGGCCCTGCATAGGGGCTGTCGTCATCCAGGCGAAAACTATCCCTGTTACTTGTTCCGTCTGAGCAGCTTGTCATTCCGCCTGACAGGGAATAGGTACAGGGAACAGGTTAACAGGTTATCAAAGGTTCGCAGCCTCCAGCACCTCGTCTAAAACTGGAGCAATGGATGCCAGTCTTACTGAGCTCCTAATCACACTCCCTCCATGACTCACTCTTCAGAGTTAGTTGTGACTCGCTCCCTGCCAGTCTGAATATGCTTCTCAATCTTTATTCCAATACCGTCTCATTTTGGCTCTATGATCTGATCTATCTTAAAGGGCATTAAGAAGTGCCCACTTACTAATCTGTAGCAAGGTATAGGTTCAAGCCTAGACCTAGAAAGAAATTTTCATACTTGAAAACTAAGAAAGAATTTGATATATAACATTTTAGTCATTATGTATTATTATTGATCATAAATGGCCTAAATATGTCATTTCAGAGTTCCTTATAGCTTACACAGTTGTAATGAATGTTTGCCCCAGAATTCTGATTGTGTGCCAAAGGCCAAAGAGAGAAAAATCCTTGCTTATAACAGGTGATGCTTTTGTGTGTCTTGCATAGGAGATGGCCCAAATGTTTGAACCTCCAAGCTATCCTATTCCGCCAAGCTGCTTGCTTTCTGCTCCCCTTCCTTTCTGATCTTGATTTCGGAAGTAAGAAAACAAAACAGAACAAAGCTATTTTTGCTTCAGTTTGTTTCTTTCTGTCATGTCAGCTCTGTGGACAATGCAAGGGCTTCCGTGTTTCTCCCACATTCTCAGTCTCCTCACTTCCTCCTTGAGAATGACCTTTTGCTGCTCGGGGAGGCAACAGTGGTAGTTTCCCTATCATGCATTATGAAATAAGGTAAAAATCCTGCAGGACATTTTTGCATTGTGTATAAACAGAAGTGTAACGTGGAAGTGGAACACTCTCTCCCCAGGCCTCCCTTCTAGATGAATGTGTGGGTGCAGGCTTTGCCTCATGGACCGAAGTAGGAAAATTCTTTCCACATTCAGTATCACAGCATGAATTTGAATACTTCCATCAGAAATACTTATGAAATCTGAATCACACACACACACACAAACACACACACACGCTTGCACGCATGCATGCACACACACTGCATCCTTCAAATGTTTCTGCCTTAGTTTTTCATCACAAAATAACTGTTGTACAGCAAATATGAATACATTTGAGGATATTCAAAATATCTGCTCTTTGTTAGTCGTCTTCAAATAACAAAAGTAGTTTATTTAAAAGGAAGAGGAAAATAAACTTTTCAGTGGCATTTACAATTTCTGAAGTGACTGGAGGAAAGATAACACTGCACATACAGAAAGACATAAGGCACCAGCACCCTCAGTCCTTTCTTGTGAGTATTGCAGCAGAAAAATGTGACTGAATCTTGAGTAATGTCCTTCTTATCAAATATCAGTGTTGGCTCAGCAGTCCTTAGAGTTGCCTGCTAATCTTCTTCTCCATCCCACTGGCGACATACCTATCATGTGGTAGTATTCATTGTTTCCATCTTTACTTACAGGTAATGTAATGTAAGTAATGGTAAATGTAAGTGCTAGAATTGAGGCATGTGTCCTGCACTTTGCAGAAAACCAAAAAATAATTTAAAAAGAAAGAAATGGGGGAGGAAGAAGAAGAGGAGAAATGGGATGAATGAGAGGGGGAGAAGAAGGGACAAAGACAAAAAGAAAAAATCAAAGGAGAAAAATAAAGAATAGAATTTTATTTTTCTATTTCGATTAATTTTCTATCTTTGACTCAAGTTAACATGAGGTTTTCTGAGCACACAATTTGGTATCAGATTTCATTATTTAATACAACTTTTTCAAGGCATTTTCACAAGAGTCCTGCGGGCTACAGTGTCAAAGTATGTTATGTTATGTATCACAATCAATAACTCCATGTATATTCAATGTATCCAACCTTTTCAGCTTCTCTATATCAAATGTCTGATCTTTGTTTCTAATCTGATAAACAACCTCAGGCTGATCTTTCATCGTTTTTTAATTAGTTTAACCCGAGCTTCGTTTCTCAGATACCACCTCTTACTCATTAGCCTTACTTGATGAGCTCCGCGCACTGTAGAGGCTATCCATAGAGTCGCTGGCTTTGAGGGAGGTCTTCTCTGTATGTGTTCCAATCATGGGGTCACTGTTCCTATATGGGAGGGCTTCCTCTCCATTTTCCTCCTCCTTCAGAAGAAAACATATTAGAGGTTAAGTGTGCAGATCAGATTTCCATGGAGATGTTCACTGTGTGCACTGACTCTACAAGCAAGACACATTTAAACAATAAAACACTCATGAATACATCAGCATAAAATATGAGAGTCATTAATCTTCAGTTCATTTTCTAGGAAAACAGTTCAGAGGATACTTGGAAAACACCCCTAGACGAGACATTGTTTGTTGTGGAATATATCTGCAATTATAACGGTCTATTTTTGAAAATAAAGATGAATATAATATCAAGACTATTTAATCAGAAATGTGGGATATATTGGCATTGATGCTTCTTCTGTTAAAGCGCAGTTGCTTCCTCATGTCCTCCCTCTTATCTGTTTGCTGCCATTACTAATCCTTCGAGATCTGATACTACAGGCTTAAACTCTGCACATTTGTTTCATGTCAGTTATTTGCACGTTCCCAGATCACTAGATATGAATAAAACATGCTCACTTGGCAATTCTAACGCAAACCTTATCTCAGGAGCTTTACAAACCTCATACTGCGCTTGCCACCTAGTCAAGTGAAAAGCAAATCTTGCATAAAATTAGAAAAGACAGACAATTTCAAAACAAATTACATTTCCTTGAAAACATCTCAAATGTTTGCCATTTTTAGAAAGTTTGGACAAAGCTTATGAATTTCTTAATACTCATCACATTGTAATTCAATAGTCTTATTTTTGAGCATTACTGAGCATTGATAAAACTTCATATTAAGCATAGACTTAGTTTGAGTCTCTGCTTTTATCTGTTCTTTATTCATGCAGTAATTTAGGGAAGGTTTATGAAGCACAGCCTAGTAGGTACTTGCCACCTTTCAAACAATTGTGGATATTCTAATAAACAAGATAACATAAGAAAAGGGTTTGGACTCTAAGAGGTTATGTTGTAGTCTTCATGGGCTTTACATAGTCTATAAGCTAGTATTTATGTCTTTAAAGGAGTTGAACTTATGTACATGAAAATATTTGGTGTGGGAGGTCCTTCTGTCTATATATTCCTTTTATTGGTTAATGAATAAAAACTGCTTTGAACCCACGGCAGGGAAGAATAGAACTAGGTGGGGAAAACGAGGCTGTATGCTGGGAGAAAGAAGGGTGGAGTCAGAAGAGAAGCCGTGGAAACGCTTCCAGAGTCAGACATGCCAAAGCCACTGCCACGTGGTGATACACAGATTAGAAATGGGCTAAATTAATATGTAAGAGATTAGCCAATAAGAATCTAGAGCTAATGGGCCAAGTAGTGATATAATTAATACAGTTTCTGTGTGATTATTTTGGGTCTAAGCTAGCCGGGTGGCTGGGAACCAACAGGCAGCCCTTCTCCAATAAATATTAGTATGAGCCATATAAGTGCTATGAAGGAGATAGACTGTATAATGTGAGAGAACTGGCAAACTGGGCAAAAATGAGAAAGGTTAGTTGATTTAGGTGAGATGAATTCCAAAGACTTTCACTGTAAGGTAACAAATGCCCTGAGTCTACCCAAATAAGTATGAAGATACCCTTTTATAACATGTTGGTCTGAATTATGAGAGAATAGCACTTCTATTTTCTTCTGAAGGTACTTTTCTACCTTTTCCTTTTGCATAAGCAAAAGGAAAGATGAGAACAAAATGGAACTCATAATTAGCCTTGGGTGTACAAATCAATGTCGTGAGAGAAAGGAGGGTATTTCATAGTGACTCAAAGAAGTGATTGAGATTCAGTTCAGGAAGAATGTTGTAGACCACTGTGGTGACCACCGGAATGTGGCACCTAGATCTAAATGTGTATTGTGAAAAGTACATGAACTTTGGGGTTGGAGACTGCATGCTATGATTCCATATTGTCATCTCCAAAAACTCATATGTTTATTCAATTTCCACTGTGCAGTATCATAAAAGGGGAAATGGAATCCGACTTTGGTGTTTAGATGCACAGCCTTCGGGAGATGGTTGGGATTAGATGAGGTTATAATAGAAGCTCCTTGACTAGGTGTTGGTGGCTTTACTACCAAAGGGATAGACACTATCCTGCATTTGCACCTTTGTTGCTTTGTAACCCTACCACCAAAGTGGCCACTTTTTCTTGGACCATAAGTGCAACCAAAATGAGGCTGTTTGTGAATAATCAGTCTGTTATGAATTGCCATTAGCAACAGAAATATGACTAATGCACCGTAGCAGTTCTCGCTATTCCCCTTGGTATCTACGAGTGTGTTTACACTGAGGTCAGACCCTCCAATGCGTCAGTAGCTGAAGAATACTTATGAATAACATTTGTGCCTATTCTGGTGGGGAAAAAAAGGAGTTCTTCCAGTGGGAAGTTTATGGTTCAAGATCTAGCCAAAACGTTCTCAGAAGAGGACTGTAAAGAGAAACTCTGATACTTATCTCCTCTCATTGTCTTTTTTATAGATGTCAGATTTGCACTGCCATTGCAAGGTTCTCCCTATGCACTTTCACTTCTGAAGAGTTCATAGGTGCTGGATGGTGGCATGCACCTTTAATCCCAGCACTCTGGAGGCAGAAGTAGGTGTATCTCTGTGAATTTGAGGTCAGCCTGGTCTACACAGAGAGATCCAGGACAGCCATGGCTATTTCACAGAGAAATCCTATGTCAGGAAACAAAACAAAACAACAATAAAGAGTTTCACAGACATTTCCCTAGTTGATCATTGGTGTTTTTATTATTATTATTTCTTAGAGGTCTGTTCCACAGAGGACTAGCAAGATTGATAGAATCTATCACACTGTATTGATAGGATCCTTTACAAGATATTTGGAAGCTTTAATCTGGGGCCCAATGGGACCTGTTCCACCTTTCAGAAATTTTTTTATGCCTTCTTGTCCTAAAAGAATCTTATTGGAGAGAAAACAGACAGAACTTAAGTGGTGGCTCTTTGATAATACAAGCAGGAGAGTCTAGTGACTTAGATTAAATCTGGGACAATTTGACTAAAAAAAATAGAACTCTAAATATTCTTTGGACATTAAAACCAAGAGGATAATTATGGTTATATTATGATATATTATGATAATTATGTTCAAAGTGGGATAAACAATTTGGAGTGATTCTTTTTTTACCCTTGCTTTTTCTTTGGCTTCTAGAATCATAAAAGTATTGTCATTTACCACTAAAAATAAGGGATGAGAAATAATTGTTTCTGATAGAAATGTTGAGAATTTCAATTTTTCAATATGCATAGGCTATGGTATCTATTGAACATCTCTGTGATAGCATCGAATGGTCAATTATTTGATTGGATATAGCAATCAAGTGAAGAAGTCATAGCTAGAGATACTTTGAAAAACCATGGCATAAGACTATTTAAGATCACAAAAGAGGTATTTAAATAAGCCTTGGGTAGTCTTAATATTTAGAGAGATAGAATCAAAAGCAAAGCCAAGAAGGATTCTGGGATAGACAAAAGTTCAAAGAGTGCTCAAAGAAACAGAAAGTTTTCCATGTAAACATGTCATGATAAATAAAACATAAAGTGTCATTGAGTTTGGGCATCACAGAGGTTACTAACTACTGTTGCAATAGAATACCAGGGACAGAATTCAAGTAGAAGAGGGCAGAAAGAAAATGAGCATAAGACATAGGAATCAGCAATATAGAATTGAAATCTTATACAATACATATCTATATTTACAATCTATATGTTTATAACAATATTGGGTATGATGGTCGGATGATTTTAAACATTGCTACCAAGACATTAAAATGGGGGCAGAAGAGTCTTCAACAAATGAAACTGAGTCAACTAGATATTTACATGAAAACGATGGAAGTTTTACTCCTCTGAAACACCACATAGAACATCTAACCCCCAATGGGTCGTATACTAAAATTTAAGAGCCATTAGGAGAAAATACAGAAGTAATCTTCATTGTGTTATGTTAAACAATATCTCAAGTATGGTACCAAAAGCTAAAGAGCAAGAAAAACAGAAAAATTGGAATACTATAAAATTATAAACATTTAGGATTCAACTAATACCATAAAAATGAAAATACCATGCACACAATGATAGAATATATATTTAGAAGTCATATTTGGTTAAAAGACTCATTCAGAAATTATGTAAACATTTAAAATATATTAAGTAGCAATAACCAATTATTAAAAAACAGACAAACTATTTAAATAGACATTTCTTTAAAGAGAAATAGATAGAACCAACAAGCGCATTAAAAGATCTTGGTGTCATCCACTATAAGACAAATGTAAATGAAAAATTACAGTGTGAATCTACTTCATCTTCACTAATGACTAATACTTAAAAAAACACAAGCAGACATAATATCAAAATATTGGAGCCATTTATTTATTGATATTGTGTGAGTAAAATTGTGCATGGTTTTGGGCAAGCAGTTGCCAGCTTCTCACATTATTAGATGTAGAATTACCGTATATCAAGAAGAAACAAAAAATATTTTTTTCAAAGAATCACACACAAGTGTTTGCAAAAGTATTACTCATACTATGCCCAAAGTAGAAACAGCTCAAAAACCCAGCAGTAAATGTGGAAGTGTAGATAATTTATAAATGGGCTAGTATTTTGTGATAAAAAGAAATAAATTACAGATAATTGTTACAACTTAAACCATGTGCTCTTCTTTACATGCTAGATATGTGAGTTTTCTTCTTTTAAACAGGAGTAATAATCCCTTAAGATTTATAAAACTGGGCCAACCAGATGGCTCAGCTGGTAAAGGCACTTGCTGAACAAGCATGAAGGCTTGAGTTTGATCCAAGGAACCCATAAAAGTTGAAACAGAGAACAGACTGAAAAGTTGTCCTCTGATGTCTGCATGCACCCTGTGGCACTCATGTGCACAAGAACACACTGTTTCTTCAAGAACTACAGAACTTCCTGGGTATGATAGTAAAAGAAAAAAAATAAAAATAAATTCTTTGCAAAACATCCAATAGTCTCTATATGAAGAAAGATAAAAAGAATATAAAAATACAGATGGCAAAATACACTTACTTTTTCCTCAGAAAGGGCTTTGATGTATTTTCTCCCAACTTTTTTTTTCATGGTCCATGAAATCGCCCTCATTTTTTTACCTAGATTTCCTCCATTATTTGAGGTTTTATTTTGTTCTTCACTTCCATTGGTTAGTTCCCCTTCATGGACCTAATGGAGTTTTTTTTTTTTTAAGAAAAAAGAAGATAAAATTATAAAGAATAAAAAATCATTTGTTTGAGTTGTGTGCTTTTCAGTACTAGGGATTTTACGTGCTAAACAAGGGCAGCACATCTAATCCCTGTGTCCAACCCTAAGAACATTCATTGATAACCTCCTTAGGGAGAATCCAAGTCTGGATATTTTGGTCATTATGTGCTGTACACATTCTGGGCACAGTACATATTGTTGAGCATTTCCAGCTGGCTACCTACATAAGAAACTTGCTTGAGAGCTCTCATCTTTGCATGCGAAAATTTTTGAGGATTTCAGCAATGGTTTAATAGCTTTGTTATTCATTTTAGTTCTTGATTTTGAGACGATCAAAACAGAAGTAACCATCAGGCTACAAGTAACTGTAACACGAGGGCCGGCTTGTTGGGGTTTCTGTCCCGCCCGGTACCCCAACAGGCCAGCAAGTCCCAAGGAAAATCACACGGAGTCTACATCAGGTTATAAACTGATTGGCTCATTAGGTCAGGCTTCTTGTTAACTCTTATAACTTATGTTAACCCATTATTCTCATCTATGTTAGCCATAATGGCTCCGTACCTTTCTCAGCTGGGCAAGTTACATGCTGCCTCTTCGGTGGCCTGCACAGGAGTGACTGAGAGAGAGCTTCTGCTTCCAGAATACTCCCAGTCTCTTTGCTCCACCCCTACTTCCTGTCTGGCTTTCCTGCCTATACTGCCTGCCTGGCCAATCAGCGTTTTATTAAAATATGATTGACAGAATACAGATAATTCTCCCGCACCATTTCCCTCTTTTTTTTTTTTTTAAAACAAAGGAAAATACCCATAGTCCATTTGTTGGGAATATGGGCGTAGTATTTCAGGCTACTTCCTGCTGGTTGGGGGTGCTGATAATCTTATGGGGACCTAAAGAAAATGTAGAATTATAATCAAGTCCTGACTGAAGTATCCTGTGAGTCTTGATCATCTCAGGCAGCAGTCTTGAATCTGTTCTGGATGTAGAATTCTGTCTTCTGGGCCATCTGTTCCTATCGGAGATTTCTCAGGTGGCCTCCCTTGGTCAAAGATGATTTTTCTTAACTCTGAATGAATCCACAGCTTCTCATTTTCTGTGGAAACAAAAGCAAAATCTCTTCTCCAAAGTAACATACCTTTTGACTTCAGTTTTGAAGCCAAGGTATTTTCAAAATTCCTATCTTGGGTTAGTTCAGCAGCATTTATAAACAAAAGTCTTTTAGCAGTTGTTGCTCCTTCCTCAGCAATCAAACAATTTAAAGAGAGCATAATAGCATACAGTATGAAGATTCTCTGTGCATTTTCCATCTTTATGTGGCTTTATTTTAACCTCTATTTCTTTTATTTTTATTTTTAACTTTTGGCTTTTTGAGACAGGTTCTCTGTATATATCTTTGTCCTGGAATAACTCTGTAGACCAGGCTGTCCTTGAACTCACAGAGATTCCTCTGTCTCTGCCTCCCCAGTGCTGGGTAAAGGTGTATGCTACCACACCTTGAAGTCACAGAGATCTGTCTGTCTCTGTCTCCCAGGCATTGGGATTAAAGGCGTGTGCTACCACACCTTGAAGTCACAGAGGTCAATCTCTACCTCTGTCCCTTGAAGTCACAGAGGTCAATATGCCTCTGCCTCCCAGGCATTGGGATTAAAGGTGTGTACCACCACACTTAACTACTCTCTTTCTTTCCTTTTAACTTTAAGAACTTTAACTTTTAGCCTGCATATACACACTGTAAACCATTTAGAGGTTTTCTTTCTCTTTGAATCTCTCTTTACTGTATATTTTTCTTTTTCTGACCATATGAGTCTTTAATTTACTAAGCAATATGGAGAGCTGTGGCTTTGACGGCTAGATCCAGCTCATTCCTTAGCTTTTCAGCCTCAAGGCTGAGGTACCAGCCAGAGCTGTGTTCACTGCCACAACTCTATGGCGTTTCAAGGTCCTTGCCAGCAAGCAAGCTGCAGCATTTTGCTCACAGACCACTCTCAGTCGGACTGCCTGCCTGAAAGAGTCAGAGTTTGCCCTGGCAGGACGGCCCAAAAAGACGGCATTTTAAAACAGCGCAGCTTTTTTCCTGCTACGGCTGAAAACCGAAAAGCATGCATTCAGCTTTTCATCAACACCGTTTAAGTGCTTCGCGGCAGGACCTCTTAAAAGAGCTGCAAGGTTTTGCAGCTAAAGCTGAGTCAGGAAGTCTCTCTTAGATGAGAGGATTTGCTTGCCTCTAGCAAGCAGAGCAGACCCGAGAAATTGCTGCTACCAAGAAACCATGCATAATGCTGTTATTTTGTTCTAGAATTACTTCCCAAGCTGTCTCAGGCTTTATGTGGATACAGTTGTCCACACGTTGGCGCCATATGTAACATGACGGGGGCCGGCTTGTTGGGGCTTCTGTCCCACCCAGTACCCCAACAGCCAGCAAATCCCAAAGAGAAATTACACACAGGACTCCATAAGGTTATAAACTGATTGGCTCATTAGGTCAGGCTTCTTGTTAACTCTTATAACTTATATTAACCCATTATTCTCATCTGTGTTAGCCATAATGGCTCCGTACCTTTCTCTGCTGGGCAAGTTACATGCTGCCTCTTCGGTGGTCTGCGCAGGAGTCGCTGAGAGAGAGCTTCTGCTTCCAGAATACTCCCAGTCTCTTTGCTCCACCCCTACTTCCTGTCTGGCTTTCCTGCCTATACTGCCTGCCTGGCCAATCAGCGTTTTATTAAAATATGATTGACAGAATACAGATAATTCTCCCGCACCAAGTAACGCATGAGTTACAGCTATATGATGGGAGGTAGTTTAGCTGTGGCAGGATTAGAAAACCCTAATCATCCTTCTGTGATGGAAGAGCATTATATTAGCCTCTTGCATCTCAAAGGAATTTGCATGGTCATAGCGATTTTTAAAGAAGTTTGGAAGTTAATTAAATCAGTTGAAATCTACAATATTTTCATCTGACTAAGTGTGTGCATGTTCATTGTTCACTTTAAGTAACAGTAAATAATACTGGCTCAACCCACTAATAGAGAAATTCTCATGTAATATATAGACTGTATGTATTTAATAATTAAGTCTTTTATTTGTTTTGCTGTTACTGTGTGCTCATTAACAATCTTCCTTATAAGGCAGTAGTCTCTGCTATGACTCAGAGCAAAACACAAGTAAGGGTGTTTGCCTACAAAGCTCAACAGCATAGCATAAATAAATCAATGTGATATGATATAATTAATGATGAGGAACTTCTCTGTAGTGATCTTAAATGCTTTAGTCTGAAAGCTTAACCACATAATTAACATTATTATTAATCAATGTTTATAAAACATGTGTTCCATCATATAGAATCTGTGTAAAATAGCATACCTTTATGAACTTACTCTTTGCTGCTTATCAGATTACAAAGCAGCATCTTCAATATTAGGGAACAGTTTGTTTTAACGAGTCATTTGTGGTGATTCTGACTCACAGATGGACAACAAAACTTAAAAGAAATGGTAAGAAAATATTGCCATGGTTGTGCATCTCCTTTACCTCTGAAGGTTCTCACTGAAGTCTGGACATGTTTTGCCTTGGCTACATCGAGATAGCCAAGGATCTAATAAGCTATCTAGGTCTCCAGTTAAAATGTAGTAATAGTGAAGAAGTATCAGATTCATCATTCTCCATGCCTGTCCACGCTTCCTGTTGTTTATTTGATGTACTCATCTTCTCTGCTCTTATTTCATTTGAAAAGTTGTTTGCTCGTTTATTGTTCATCTGCATCTCACACATGACACAAGTTCTATGAGAATAAAGGCTTTGTCTGTATGTTTTATTTTGTCTTAAGACTGCTTGAAGGCATGTTAACTGGTGCTCAGTGTCCTCTAAGCAGAGGAAATTCCGATGTGAAAATGGAGACAGCTCCTCTCTCCCCTGGAGGACATATTTGGATTAGATGTTCTTGGTACCACAGATGTGCAAGCCATGAACTCTGAAGGTCACCTGCTTTAGTACGGCCCACCATGCTTGATGGGTGGACAGCCTGTCATTCCCAGAACACAAAAAATGACTGGAAACTTCTGGGTAGTGAGCTTTAATATTTTAATATGAGAGTTTAACCACATAGTTAACATCATTATTAATCAATATTATATTTTGCTTCATATCTTACCCCAAATTGCCTATGATAAATATGAATGGACAGCCAATTTAAGCCCTCATTGCACATTATTAATTTCTACATTCAAGGTTATAAAGGCAGAGTCTTTGCTTAATTCAAAATACCAGAATAAAATTTGATTTGGAAGCATTCAAATTTTAGTTAGCCTTTTTCTTCTCTCTTTTCTTTGCTTTTAACTTTATTGTTTTAATTGAAAAATTATTTTACTAACTGAAATAAATACGAGAGTATATTATTTAGTTAAAACCGATATTGTTACTATTATTTAAGCTTCAAATAAAGCAATACAAATACTGTTTGGCTTTCTCATAATTATTTATAGAGGCTTCAAAGAAACTGTCTCCATATATTGTAAATTGTTTTCTTTTCTGTGAAGTTCTCCAAAGCCTGGACTATATTTCTGTCTAGGATTTACAATTCTGTTGTTTTCATCATCTTTTTAGGCAATATTGCTGCAGTCTCCAGACCTTATGAAGTAGGCATTTTCATCTTTCATTGCAACAGGACTTTGGAGTAGTTAACAGAAACCCTGCCATTATGTAAGTACCTGTGAAAAGGGTGAAAAATTGATGCTGGGTTTCTGAGAAATGAGAAACTATTTTATCAGCTCTTCTCCATGCTTTAACAAATTACAAGGCCATTACTACTTATTCCATTGACAGTGAATGAGCTTGAGAAGCTTACATAGATTTCCTAAAAACTAAATAGTAGCAGGATACACTGTACATGGCTATAGCGAGTTAAAAGTTTATCTGAAACCCTAAGTGGAAATAAAGTGTCATAAGTAAATTCCTCTCTGTGTATTTACACATGTATATACACACAAACATAAACAGGTGTTTATACATATATACGTGTGTGTGAGAGAGAGTATGTATATAACTATATCTTTTTGGAGCCCATTCCCTATGGTAGGATAACTTGCTCAACCTTGATGCAGAGGGAAGGGACTTGGTCATGCCTCAACTTCATATGGCAGGCTTAGGTGACTCCCTATGGGAGGCCTTATCTTCTCTGAGTAATGGATGGGGATGGGGAGGTGGTGAGAACACAAGGAGGGGAGGGATGAAGTAACTGTGGTTGGTGTAAAATGAATAAAAAAAATTTAAGTTAAATAAATAAATATAGAGAAAGTAAAAAGTGATTGCAATGGTTGGTGTTTACAATCAATTTGGGAACATCTAGAATCACTAAGAATTGAACCTGTGTGCAAGCATTTGGGGGATGATCTTGATTATCCATTTGAGATGGGAATTTCCACCTGCTCTAGCCACCATTCCCTGGCTAGGCTTTATAAATGGAGAAAGGAAACTGAGCATGTGTTCATTGCTCACAGCTCCTTGACTCTGTATGTGACACCACCTGCTGCTTTATATTCCTGCACCTTTGACTTTCCCACCCTGATGGACTGGGATTTTTAACTGTGTCTGAAATAACCCCATTCTCCCTAGAGTTGCTCTTGGCAGCATATTTTGTTACAACAGCAGGAGAAGAATCTAAGACAAGTGTGTTGTATGTGTGTGTGTGTGTGTGTGTGTGTGCGCGTGTGTGTGTGTGTGTGAGATAGCTGATGTATATATTACATAAGTCAATATGTTATACATATAGGTGCATGTTAATGGATATATTAAAATAATATTATATGAAATGATATTTTTAATTATTAGAATATCCCTTGTTGAGGGAAAAATAGCATATTATATATAGATGCATCTGTATGTAAGGTTTATATAACCTGTTTATCTAAAAGCAACTATTAGTGAGTTCACTGAGTTAGGGTAGGGTGAGGATTAGGTTTAATAATGAATAGTGTTGCATTCTTAGTTTTCTCGATGTGAATCCCTCCTACTATTTAACTAGTTACTGTTCCTTTCCTTAGTCATCCATCCCAAGTGGTGGCTCATAAATAAAATGGTATAACAGAGTGGCAGACAGTAAAGCCAGAGAAAAGGTTGGGCTCTACCTTAATCATTTCTCTGTAGTAGAAAAGCAACTTTGCTTAGTGAACAGATCTATCCCTTCAAAAATAAAATTGAAATGCCAATAGTTCCAATAGTTCTCAATAGACAATCAATTGGTTGCATTATGCTTTCTTTATGATAAGTAATTAATTAAATGTAAATATAAATAGTTATTTTTATTATATACAAATTTTAATGTTATGGTGAACTTTGCTTAGGCACATACAAATTGTGCATAGTTTACCAATATGTTTGTAATGGTAACCAATAAGGCTTTTAATGCATACAGTAGACATGGCAGAGTTCAGTGGAGTAGCTACATGCTCGTCTTATCAGAATAACCATCAAGCCCATTTAACAACTTAGCATGCCGTCATCTCCTGCATGTGTATTGTTTAGCAAGGAAATGCTCAAGAGACCTGGAACTGTCACGGTAACTTTGCATTAGAAGAATATTTAAATTGTCACTAACTTTAAATTCATGTTCTGCCCAAACATTGAGAAGATTTTTTAGATAGTTGTTTACCTCTTAATGCCCAACATGATATTAGGCCCTAATTGCTCATTTATTTCAAAATTTTATAAGAGTCTACATGACTTTAAAATGTATTTAAATTCCTTAGCTAACATTTAAACTTTGACAATATGCTATTATAATGTTCATAAAGATAGAATAAAACACTAACCTCAGGTGAGTTGTCAGATTTGGATGTGGAATTATTCCGAAAACGATCAAAATTCCCAAAACTGCTGCTGCGCTGTAAAATTGGAAAAGGAAAAGAAACTTAAGGTTTGACTTTCACCACTGAAAGTACTAAATTTATTACAGCTTCTCTGAAATGCATTTTGAATATGTGGGCTATGGAAAGTCCTTCTCTGGACTCTCAATAGGCATTGGAGGCATAAACATTAATCATATTTTATACTAAAACTTGCTAAAATATCTTCCTTTGATTTGTGTAATAGTGGTGAATTTTTTTAAATTAACTTATAGTATTTATCACTTGACAAAAGCAACTGAAGCATCTGACGATTCTAAACGGAGCCTCCTTTAAACAAGTTGAACAGGCAACAACAAAGCCAACAACCAATAAAGATACAACAATGGAACAAAGCAAGCGACTGACTGATTTCTTCAGCCTCCTAAGATAGGTTTGCTTAAAAACAAAAATAACGCAAGTACATTTCCCACTAGTAAATCTTGTAAACTTTAACGTCTCTGCCCATAATCGGAAAGAGAATGCACAGATGTATGCCTAGCTTGAGAGTAACACTGAATTTCTTCACGTTTTCACGTGGGATTGCACTGAGATCCCACTCCCCTTCCCCATTCTGCAGGTCATCTCCCCTCATTGACTTCACGGAGAAGCTTCACATGTTAGCAGACTGAATTTACATTCTTATGCTTACTCACTCTGGGTAAGTAATTATAAATAATCTTAAGATGCTTCAAAGTAAATGGCTCTCCTGAATACATTTTCAAAATTTTTCAAAATCACTGATTCAAAAGATTGACTTTCTCACTATCAATTTGATTTTATGCATTGTTTAGGATGGCGGGATTCTAATCTTATGGTGTGTGTGCATGCTTGTGTGTGTGTGTGTGTGTGTGTGTGTACCTATAAATCCAAAGAAGATATCTTTTTTTATTTGTTTGTTTTTGAGGCAGGATTTTTCTGTAGCTTTGGAGCCTGTCCTGGAGCTAGCTCTTGTAGACCAGGCTGGTCTTGAACTCAGGGTGAGTTCTACCTCCTGAGTTCTGAGATTAAAGGCATGTACCACCACCAACTGGCTCCAAAATTACCGTGTCCTAAGGACTATGCATCATTTCAAGGAAATATACTTTTGAAATGAACAGTTTTTACAGGAAAGGTAACCTAGTAACTTGAAAAAAGGTGTATAGCAGTAGTCATTAATCTATAGAGTTTAATTTAATAACTAGTAATAAATTTATAAAAAATTATTAAATTATTAAAAATTAAATAATTAAATTATTAAAAAATTATTTTTTAATATATTTAGATTTATTAAATTAATTTAATTTAATAGTTTTAATTTAATCTATAGAGTTTGTTCTTGTCCACCCAGAATCAGAGGTCACTTTAGCTAGTCTTTCCCAGAGAATCCTAGTCCTTAGACTCATTCTCCGACACCTCTCACCACCACTGCCTTTAAAACTCCTTATTTTCCGTGTACAATGGGTTGAAATAAAGAGATCCTGGACATGTGACAACTAGTGAGCCTGACAGTCTTTGTGCTCCAGAATCTTGCTCCAAGCGTGATGGCTGTGCAGATGCAGCACCTTTGGCAGAGGCCTCCTGTGCTGAACAGGCACACAGCTCTGCTTGCTTGTGGTGAGAGGAGAGCTGAGGTAGCTGAAATTGTGTTTCACAGCAGAAAATACCAAGTCAGTTCTCATAGAGCGTACCAACTTAGAGACACACCCACGGTGTGAATCACTTTGACGTGCCTAGTAGGCGTATCCATCAGGCCATCATTGATCTGAGTTCAGGTGGAAGTGAGGAAACAGCTGTCCTGCTTGAAGATTCATACATCACGGACACCTATTACTCTGCTGTATACTTAAGACGTTCTTATGGCCTGTTGGAACCTAGGCCGGTGGCAATTTAGTAGCCTATATCCAGCCTGATGCTGCCTATTACATATTAATGAGAGTTACAAAATGGCTCCCACTGCTAGATAATGGGGCCTGTTGCATGGGAGGGCACAGAATAGATTTCACGTCAGCGTTTCTCTATACTTATAGTCTTCCATTAAGTAATCAATAGCCACCACCTTTTCAAATTAATTCTGTCCCTGTTATACCAATAAAGAAAAACAGATACACAAACAGTGATTTTAGAAAGAGAAAGAAAACTTCTGCTTTGGGTCCCGCCAGTCCTGTCAGAACTAATTTCACAAGAACTTTAAGGTAGGTGAGTCTGTCTGTCCATCCTAAGATTCTCGTAAGAAACAAATTTCAGTACCTATTTAAAAGAGTATTTAATATATTTCATTACCCACTATGAAAATCAGTTACAGTCCAGAAAGATGGTTTCATAATATATTTATAGGTTATAACTTGTGTTAGAAAGGAGTTAATGCCTACTGTGAGGTATAGACAAGGAGTAGTTTTATAATTTTTGCTGTCAAATTTTATAGTGAAAAGGTAAAATGTGTGGAATCAAAGCCTGCTTCTTACGTAGTAGTCCTTAATAAATGAGAATATGCTTGAATATTCACAAATATGTATTGTAGTGCAATCATTTTGCAGATACTAGCTGGTGACAGAAGCTCCCATCAAGATAAAGCAATTACGTGAAGAACTGTCTCTGGACAAAGCAATGTGACTAAAAAAGCAAGTCACATGTTAGATAATATCTGAGAATGGTAGCATTAGGACATGTTTGCTCTTTATGCTGCGTATAAGTATATTCAGGGACTTCGAGTGTAGCACAGAAATAAAACACACACTTTGCATGATCAGTGACTTAGGTTCAAACCCAGCTCAACCTCAGCAAAATAAAGTATACAGTCCTTATATGTTTAGAATACCATTTATAAAATGCCACTACAAGAAATTTGTCACTGTCCCATAAATTTTCATATATATATATATATATATATATATATATATATATATATATTTTCTCATAACAACTAAATTTTTAAATTTTTGGATATGAGTGAATGTTTGTATACACATATACATCATATTCATTGCAATATTTTGCCAACATTCATCAAAAAGATACTAACTGAGTAGTATGTGTATGGATCAATGGCGAAATATTGAAATTCATCTTTCCCTAATTCAATAGAACCATCCCATGATACAGTGAAAATGCAAACAACAAAACAGAAGAAAGGATCCAGAACAGGCCACCATTTATCTAAGCATATGTCTCATGAAGGCAAATGCAGGATTCCTCTCACAGAGCTGTGTGAGAAATGAGTAGGGGTGACAGGAAAGAAAATATATTCCTCTGAATATACTTTGTTTCATATATTTGAACACAAAGCTATGCGAAAGCTTCACAAATTCATAAATCCAATTCAATCAAAAGAAGAATCCCTGAACTTTACAATCCAAATGAAACAAATCTACCTACTTCTAAATCAAGATGAATGTTTAAGGGGAAAACTTATTATAAGTTATTTTTTAAAAAAGCAGTTTGATAGTCTGTACATAGTAATGTTGCAAGGAGAAGATGGAATGCAAACTAAACATTAACCTGTTTCCACCTGTCGTGCCCAGTAGTACTGGTGCATGTGTGAGCATTAACAATTAAAGCGAGTACCAGTACAATATCATTTGAAGTCAACATTCTCACACTATATTGAGAGCAACGCAGATGTGAAATAAAATGCCTAAATAAGATCTGGAATCTTAAATTTCATTTGAAAACACCAGTGATATGTCCTGATGTTGAAGAAGGGCTGTCTGTTGGTTCCCAGCCGTCTGGCTAGCTTAGACCCAAAATAATCACACAGAAGCTGTATTAATTAAATCTCTGCTTGTCCCATTAGGTTTAGATTCTTATTTTCTAACTCTTATATTACTTTAACCCATTTCTATTAATTTGTTATATTACCATGTGGCTGTGGCTTACGGAGTAAAGTTCCCAGCATCTGTCGCTGGTGGCTCCATGGCTTCTCTCTAACTCTACTTTCCTCCTCCCATGCTATAGGCCAAGTCAGTTCTTTATTCATTAACCAATAAAAACAACACATAGACAGAAGGACCTCCCACATCCTGATGTACCTCCACTTAAAATACTCCCATACATGCTCTACTCATAAACATAATGGTCTGGAACAATGGTGGCCCAGTCTTGTGTCACTTTAGTTCACAAACTACATCCTATGCACACATTTTCAAAATGGAAGCAGATCTCTTCTGAACTAAGACAGAAACATAGTAGGATGCCTGTTGCCTTGTCAATCCACAGACGTGACTGCCAAATACATAAGGGGCTCTATGGAATTTGTTTAGTATTTGAATAGATTGTAGCCCAAGCCATGCTATTTAGTTTCTGTAAATATAATAATACATGTAACATATTGTGAAATAGTTGCAGCATATTTTAACAGGTCAGAATTCACTGATTTTTAATCATCCTGAAGAGAAACACATCAGTTACTGTATTGAGAAACATCACAGCTGTATTTTGAAAATAGACAAAAATAAAAGACAACAAAATGTCTTTTCTGAATGAAATATATTTCAGAGTAACTACAAAATTTATTGTGGAAAATTATTCCAAATATGTATATATTCTGTTTCTTAAAATTGATGAACTTACAAAATTACTATTTTGCAGATCTCTACTTATACTGCATATAGTAAGTGCTTAATGTCTAAACAAAGAGAAGCAGCCAGAATATGTGCTTTATGATGGAAGCACTGTATATCTCCTATAAGATGATCTTCAGAGGGAAGGAGAGATGACATGGAAAGATGTATGGGCATGGGGGCAGGATCAAAGGGTAGAATTAACCACAGTTCTCTCTCTATGACATTTTAGTTAATACACAGACATGAAAGTCTGTTCAGTGATGTGAAGAGGATTTAGTTAGCGAGAAAAATCCAGATGGGAAAAACTCAGCACAAATAACTTCTTTTTTTCCCACTTGACTAACAGATGGAAATTGAAAAGAAAAAGAACAGGTAAGTTATAAATTTTTTAAATTAAGAGCCTTCATCAGTTAGATCAACCAAATACAATGTGGGTATCATTTGTGTATAGATCAAATA